TGAATAACTTTTTGTTCAAACATCCAAATAATAACTTTCAAAGCACATTGTCAAGATTGATCATTAAGCTTTCCAAAGAATCCAATATTGCATCATAAAGGTCCCTAAGTAGTGAGCTATGTGTTGTTGAAGTTGGCTCCATGGAATATTTTTTTTGCTTCGAGTCAAATTTTTAACCATGAGTAAACTTGGATTACAGGTCGATTTATTTAAGTTTAGTTGCTAAACATGTTTAACTAATTTTTCATATGTTTTTTGATAAGAATTGCACTTGGTACGAGGTAAGTTTGATGCATTTCAAGTCACACGTTGGGAATGATCACAGTTGGATTGGTTTGCATGATTTTCTCACAATTCCTCTCATTTCTCATCATCATTCACTTCCATTTAAATAGAGAATGCTATTCCATTCATTTGCTCAAGATTAGGGAGCCAAAATCACCCTGTCAAACTTTCTCCATAGCTCACAATTCTGAGTTTTCAAATTCACTCTTTTCATATTTTTCAATCCAATTTCCTTGTTCATTCTTCATCCTTGAACTTCACTGAAGCTACCAGAAGAAGAACCAAGCTTTGAAGTGATCTAAATCGTGCTAGCCAAGTCAAGTTTCAGAGCAACTTCAGTGGACTTTGTTCAGGTAGGAATTAGCATCAATTATTCTAACTCAAATTACTGGAATGGTCTATGATGTTCATTGATGCTTGCTGATGAATTAATTTTGGTTAATTGAATCATTTGATGCATCTCTTTTCAAATTCAAAATTGTCAAAACTCTATGGTTTTTTCCAAATCGACTGAGCTACACTTTAAATAAATTTTTTGCAAGGGTGAGGTTAGGATCGTCTGGAAGAGACAAATCCAATGATACCACTCTGAGCTTCTAACGTTTTCGTTTGAAGAATCTCGTCATTTCCCTATTTGTAGATGGTCGGAGGTTGAAGACGACCTACGTGTCGCTCTTCAACCAATGACCTTAAGTCGTTTGTTTTAATCTGATTGGTTGGATTTTTTGGAGTTGCATGTGCACGTTTCAGTGATGATCACCATACATCCTAGCTTCAACGCCTTTGGATCTGACATGGTGGATAAGTGAGCTGAATCCAATGTACCACATTATTTTGGTATTATTTTTATTTTCTGATTTTTGTTTTAATTGTTTTAAACTTTAAAAATTCATAAAAAAATTCATTTCAACTTCTAAAATTGTGAAAAAATTATCAAAAATACTTTTGATTTTTCTCTTTCTGGTTTTTATTATTTCACAGTTTTATTTTGTGATTGGTATTTTTTATGATTCTTCACTTTATTTGACTTGTTTTAATTGTTTAAAAACACTTTTCTTGATTTTTAAATTCTGTAAAAATTATGGAAGGATTCAATGACCTCTTGACAAATATTGGTGACCTAATTTTATTTTTATTTTTGATTTTACTATTTTTCATAAATTTTGGTTTATTTTTCTTATTTCTTTATATTTTAGAAAATAGTTTGACTTAAAAAAATTCCAAAAACTTTTTTCAACACTTGTTGACTTATGTTTGCTTCTAATTTTTTTTTAGGATTTTTATTTGGTGTTTTAATACATGTTGTGTATTTTACCAATTATTTCCTTTATTTTGTTTTATATTAAATATATTTTATTGTTTTTTGATTGGTCTTGATTTGGAGACATTTGGGTATTATTTTGGGACAAGTTCCTCAACCTCATTGAATTTTAGGTGTTGATAGGTTGAAAAACAAAATCCACCAAAATGGATGAATGATGTCGATGATATTTGAAACCCTAATTTAATCTGATACATTGGTTATACTATCATTCCCCTCCCTCTTCATCTTATCCCTTTCTATTTTTTACTTATCCTACATGTCTTTGGAGAATGATCGACATATCATTTCTCTAACATGTTTGTTATATAAATTGCTATTGACCGACCTCAAAATAGGTGTGGCTTCTACATAAGTCCACTTACGATTGCTTAACATAGTGTTAAATTTGTCCTTCTTCGAAAAATGATCATTCCCGACCTAACCCTATATTTGAAAGCCCAAGTATGTTTGATTTGAAACCTTTGATCCAATAACTTTGAAGGTCATTGTTAGGAGGCTTTGATTCTATCAATTCTCTAATGAACTTCATGAATTTTAGTCTAAGTGAATATTTTAAAAATCGTTGATCATATGTGTTGCCTTGAGCACTTGGAATGAATGATATACTTCACAAAATGAAAATGGAACTTGTTGTTGAGAGACTTTGATTTTATCAATCTTCTATTTTAGCATTTACATCTCAAGTTATTTTTCTTTTACTCACTTGAGCATTTATTTTTATGTCATTTTATCTTTGCTCACTTGAGATTTCTTTTCTTTTAAAGACACTTAATAATCAACTTGAACATTAAAAGCTTTAAGGTTACTTGGACTACTTGGTTACCTTCCTTGGAATTCTGGAGTTGTGGATCTCTCGGACTTAGGATTAGAAGCCTTCATACTTGGGTACCTTGTTATTCTGTCTGAAATCCTTGGGGTTTACTCCAAGACATTAGTTTGAATTTTTTTCGGTGTGCTGGTTATTCTGATTTTTCATGCTTTGTCTATGGTTGAGAATTCCTCTATATATAGTTGTTGCTTGCCCAATTTTTATGAAGACTTAATTCATATGAAGCTTGGTATTCCTCAGAGGCTTAGTATTGTGGTTTGCTTAGTTTTAATCCAAAGGATGAGAATTCTACATTGACTTCTTCATGTCAAGTGTTTGCTTTTTATTGGCTAGATCGTTCTTTTCCTTAGCTTTTACCTTATGCTTTAGGATAGTCCCTTCATCTCCTCCCATCTTCTTTAATTTCAAAGATCTTCTTCCTCCTTTTCAAAACTCTTCTTGTTTTTTAACTTGAACCGCTTTCATAATAAACTCAAACTTAGGTCCATGCATTTTCAAAATATTTTCTTAATAAAACATTAATCAATTTAACAATATTTTGACATCTTTGTCAAGACTAAAAGTCATTAACCTCATTCAAACTATTTTTCTAGTTTGGCTTTTTACTTATAATATTTTTCTCAAAAGATTAGACTCTTGTCAATTCTTGTAGTGACGCAAACTACTATACTTCTACGATATGTGAAACAACCGGCTGAACAAATCATCAAGATGAAATCAACTAATTCGCCATCGAACATTTTTTATCCCACAAGAAGGGAAAGGTAATCATTGAGTAAACCTGATAAGGGTGAAATCACGATCAAACGACCGAGAGATCGGGTAAGGGAGTCTGTTACGCGAGGAGAAGGTATTAGTACCCCATGCACCTATAGTACTCTATGGTATCCACTCTTGTTGTTCTAATCAAAGGGTGTGTTCAATATAAGCTTAAGAGCTAAATTAGAAATGCAAAGAGGGAATGCATGCAAAGGAAAAGAAAAAATAATGTAGGGAAAATAAAGTTGTGCTCGCTTGGGCCCTACCCTATTGCCTACGTATCCTTTTTGAGGAATCCGAGTTACCGTAGTTCAGCTCACATGTTTTGATTTGTTTTGTGTTTTTTAATGAACATTATTAATTTTCCCTTCTTCCGCAGCTCGACCTTTGGAGAGTTTGAAAGAAGAGAAAAGGAGCCCGCAGGCGAAAAAGAGTATGTATTGGTTGATATTTTTTGCCTTAAAGAAGGATTTGAAAGTTGTTAGATGTTTCATGTATTTTTTCAAGAAAATGTTTTAGTTTTAATGCAAGGTTGCAAAAGAAAGAAAAACATCTAAGGGAGAGTAACTTATCTCTAATCCCTAATGTTATCATACAATGATTGATCCTAAGGTTGATTTTTGAAAGGGAAATCTCTACCCTATATTAGCATGCATGGATACCTATCCTAATGTCTAGCTTGAAAGCTACACTAATCGAGCGATCCTAAGGGAGCATGGTATAGCAAACAAAATAAGCAAACAAGTGCTTTGGCAAAAGCACACAAACATGAGTAGCACATACTGACTCAAAGGGATGGGGGAAACAAGAGAATTGCTTTAGCTAAGGGGAGCGGATCACCCGAAGCAAACAAGCGGAAGACAAATGAAATAAAAAGGAAAAGAAATTCTTTTGCTATAGGGAGTGGATCACCCAAAGCAAACAAGCGGGTATCAAAGTATCAAAGTATCGTGAACTCCTGACTAAGTGAGGGGGTTTGATTGCAAAACCCTTTTCCCCATGACCGACTCAATACACAAGATTTGCACAACTCTGAAGAATCAACGCACAATGAGAGCTAAGGATGACACAGACTAGAATGTGCGGGGGTTGATTATAGACTCTTTCCGCTCTCCCTCTTTTGAGGACTTATCATTTGTAATATAATGCGAGCGCAAATGTAAACACACATGCAGAATACCTACTTCAAAGGTAGGGTTTTAAACAAACACAAATAACATTCAGAAAGTGGTTCCTGCTATTGGACTTTAAACAACGACTTTAAGTGCACCCTCTTATTTCCCACTCCTCGTGATATCTAGAAAGCAGTAAAATATTGAAATGAGATAAACAAGAGAAAATACCAAACAAACAAGAGTTCATTGCACAGAAGAAGCAGAGAAACCCAAAAAACTTTGAGTGAGCTTCACCAAGCAACAAAGAAGAGTCAGAAACCAAATGCTTGGAATAAGCATCAAAGCATCATCGATGTAAAAATAAACCACAATCGAAAATTCAATCATTCCTCCTATCACATAATAAATCTGCATACGAATCAAATCTCAACAAGTAAAGGTGAATCGCAAATTTCGAGTAATTGGATAATCAGGAATTAATTCCTAAAATCAAATAAAAAAAATCTAACAAATTTTATTGATTTTATTATTTTTTGTCTTGTGAAAAAAGAAGTTCCAACAAATCTAAACAATTCACAGAATTATTTAAAAGAAATTACTAAAAGAATAAACACAGGGGGTGCAAGCAAATAATCTAGGAGTGTAGAAGCAATATGGGCCCTAGGCCCAACACTAACTGTCGAGGACCATGCTTTTTTGTTCCATCTATCTCAAGTGTGCCAAAAACCAGCTCTTATGGGCTTTGGGGGTGCAGGCCGAAATCAAGGAGTGGATCATTAATCCAGGCGCTAGGCCCATTGCAGGAAAATCCAATAAGATATTTTTTCTAGTTCTTCAGCTTATCCAAAAAAACAAACAAAAAATAGGCGCTAAGCTAGTACGTCCCAAACCAATATTTCATCATCCATATTTTCTTTTTTATCAATTAATTCCTAGTTTAATAAAAATAAAATGAAAAAAAAAAAACAAACAAAAAAAGAAAATAAGAAAGGGATTAGGGTTGGAATTGTTGTGACACATCAGCTTCTCATGAGAACAGAGTTCTCTTCATCTTCTCGAACTCATAACCGCGGCAGCCAACTTCTTGTATGATTCATCTTCTCTGCTCTTCGATTCAAGGTCTGTTGTACTTTATCTGGGACTCGCCTCCGTCTTCGACAAACTCAGATGCAATACCGTCATATCCAAGCTTTATCGGGCGCGAATCCATCATCTTCGTTCACTTCGATCTCGTGTATTCGCCATAACATTGAAGAAATATGCTCAAAGTGAAGAAAGATGGAAGGAATCAACTTACCGACCGGAAGTAAACTCCGACGGTTCTCTAATTAGCAACGTCATCGTCGACGACGGAAAGGCCCGAAGACGTTTCTTCAAGAACTCATGTTTATCCTCGTACTCATCTTCTTCGTCTTTGACTACTTCTTCTTCTGATCTTGCTTTTCGCGATTTCTGCGTTGTTGTTGCTGAACCTTGAGGATACGTTGAAGATTGATACAAAATTTGTTGATGCAAATTCGGCGTTGTCGTACAAATTATACGAAGTTGTTGGAGAAGTTGATATTGAACCGCATGTGCAGTAGCAATTTTAGGGTGAGGTTGTGAATTCGTGCGATGAAGATGAGTTGAGATGATGAAGAATAGAGCAATGGAAGATCTTCTTATGGAGATGTAGATTTAAGGATGATGAAGATTGCAGAGATGCTGATTGAAGATGCAACGATATAGTTTATTGCAGAAACTTTAAGGTGCAAAGTTGTAGAAGAATGAAGGTTATGGAGAAGGAGCCGAGAGAAGAGAGAGTTTTTGAGTTTTTTGTACGATTCCTGTGATTGTTGAAGAATGATCGATTCAGGTTAGAAATTATGTTATATATGCAGTTGGGAAGTTGGTTAGAGATCTATGGAATTAGTTATGAGGTTATAATTCTATTAGAGTTATTAGGAGTTAGTTTAGATCATGTTTCTGTTTTTTTTGTATTTCTGCTGAACTCGTTTTTATGCTGAGCTGGGAATTCGTTTATTCTGGTTTTACTTCTGGTTTGCACCGGCACGGTTTAGTCACGACAGGCTGTATTTTTGTTAGTGAGATAACCAATTTTTGCATTATTTTTTTGATTGGATTTTGTGGACTGATTTGTAGTCTTGTGCAGAAATGTAGCTTGAGCATTTATTATTTTGGTTATTGAAAGCATGATGTTTGAAGGATTTGACCATGGCTACTGTGAAGGTGAGAACATAAAGCACGGTGAAGTCTTGATTTTTGTACATGAGGATTTATTGGAGCAACATGAAGATGAGTAAGGAGACCTTTGAAGCAATTTGAAAGAATATAGGGAAACTTGGAATTTATTGTCGTATTTTTGTAATTCTCTCAAATGATGTAGTGAATTGGACTTGTAATGATGTATTTTGAAAGCACTTTGTTATCTTGATGGCATGGATAACTTGTATGTAATTCTTGGGTGAATTTTTAAATAAATGATCCTTGAATGACAAAGTATTGAAACTTGAACTTTGAATTGATTATGGTAAAAATGCTTGAAGCCATAAAAGGGTTTTAGACAAATATTGAATCCATACGAACATGGAATGATGATTTGAATTTTGAAAAATAATGAATATCATTGCAATATGAATGAACTTGATGAATCTTAAAAGCATGCCTTGCAATTCATACATTTCCTTCCAAAAAATTCACATGATCAAACTCAACGTGTCTTGCCAATTTTAATCCAATCAACTACTTTGACATTTTGAATATCTTGAATTCAAATCAGAACTTTAAATCCAAATCACACTTGCATTCTCACCCTAAACTTCAATATAAATTCAACTAACAATGATGAGATTGTCTTGATAAAAAATGAACCCTACAATCTCATATCTCGTGCCATGACTAAAGTCTTAACAATTTAATTCACCAAACATTCTTAACTGAAAACCCATGTTCACACACAAATATAATGTTCTTGAGGAACTCCTCAAGAACGAATATGGAAATATGGAAGAATTATAACAAAGATAGCCTTAAAATGAAGATCCAATGAACCCTCGATTGGAGTACAAAGATTAAAACTCTAATCTTATAATCCTTGGGGAAGAAAATCTGCCCACTTGTTGTTCAGAAGAAACAAAATAGCCTTATAGCTTGATGAGAAAAAGAACTCCAATTAAACATGGATCACAACTTTAATTCCATACTTTACTACTTACAGAATAACCAGAAGAATCAGAAGTAATCAGCTTTATTGAATATGTACACCTCAGTCACTATGAAATCCTAACTTGCACGATTCGCTGATCTTTTGAACCTCATGTATTTTATTAAATGCAATGCATGTTATGTTAGTGACATAATGAAATACATGCAGATGAATGAAAAAGTCTAAGTCAGGTAAAAGTAAAATTAGGAGGGAAAATTTTGGGGTGCAACAATATGCAGTGAAGTGAGATATTTTCTACTTGGGTGTTGAGTGAGGCTTTGTTGATTTTAAAATCTAAGATATATCATCAACCTTGAGATGAGGCAAATTCTCCTTTCTAATAATTGTGGGTAGTAAGTATGTTTTCCACTCGGATATGATAATGATGTCTCTTCTCTTAAATTAACCAACACACATGTGTTTTAAAATTTTTAAGGTGAACTATGAGTAACCTGATCCCCCATTACATAGAAGGTGGTATGTAGGTACTAAAGGTTCGCAACCGCGGCGGGTGCAAAAAAATTATAAAAAACAATACTTATTTTTTCATCTCTACCATCTATTTTGTATACACCTTTTATAGCCAAAATACACATATTTTCAAAGAGGTTCCTGTGGAGTACCGCGGATTTTTAGGGTGCTAATACCTTCCCTTTGCGTAACCTACCCCCTTACCTAGATTCTCCCCCCCTCTTTTTTGGCTTTATTTGCTATTTTCCCATTTCCTTTGGAAACAATAAAGCGCGGTGGCGATTTTTATTTGATTTGTACGAGTTTAGTCATTCCAATGGCTTAATCTCAACATTTCTACCATTACAACACCGCATCAAGTAAGCATCAATGTTTTGGGTTAGCTGTTGAGCCTGTATAGTTGTCACTTTCTCAACGTCCTCTGTTGCGTTCAAATAGTCCTAGAGGAACTTTAGGCCATCCAAGTTATTAGACCAAAACTTGAGTTTAGTTGACAATTTGAAGTTTTGGCTACTGCCTGAGTTTGCATCAAGGTGGTAATTACCAAATCAACATGATTTACATGATCACCCATTAAAGTTGTCATCTTCTTAGGGGAACTCAATTTCGAGCCCCCATAAAGGGATATGGGGCATCTTGGGGCTTTGAAGTGACTAGGGATACTTCCCAAGCATCCTCCTTTCTTTTCTTTAGGGCCCGAATTTGAATACCAGACAAATTGATATTTGAGGTAGATTTCTCTTCTCGTCTTGTTCTCACTTCAAGCATCAACTTCTTTTGTTCCTTCAGCTTAAGGCTCATCATTTTGGCTAAAAAGTAATGAGAAAAGAAGTTTAGATGATTGACATAAATAGATCACTAGTGTATGGTAAATGACATATAAGTTTACCCAAGAAGTTAGAGGTTTGTTCCAGATCATTGGCCATGTTCATTAAGTGATTAACCTTTACCACCCGAAAGGCATCTAGAAAGACTAATGCTTGGATCTCCAAAGCATATAACTTGTCATAGTCGAAACTGGACACCAACAATGGATTGTTCGTCCAATATATTAGGAAGTGAAGGCTCCCATCCAATACATACATAATTTGAGGGCATCTATCCCAACTTTTTACCTGAAGAAACTTGTCTTTGAAGCCTTTTTAGTTGGTGGTATAAGCCTGGAGTAAACATTTTCCTGGGATTCCATTAAAGGAAACCGAACCTCATTTGTATACACCTTTTAGATCAATTAAAGAAAAGAATAGACCTAAGGTAGGGATTATTTTCACTTCATCACAAACAATCTCAAAGCCTTTAATAAAAAGCCCTAGCCATTTAGGCGTAATTGAGAAGGGGAAATATTTAGGGTTGTAAGGAGGTCGGATTCAAAATCAGTAAAGGGGATACGTATCCTAAAGTCCTCATCATTCATGAATAGAAATAAAAATATTTGTCAAATACTCCTCTTGGTCGAGTGATACAAACTCTTTCTCTATCCACGCATAGCTCCATTACGACATCTTCTTTGTTACCGGTAGAATAAATTTGCTTTTTAGTTTGAAGTTTATAAATGACATTGGAATTAATCATGTTTTGGTCATAACTTAGGACCTCTTGATCACTAAAGGACCCAGTCATCTCCATCACAATTTCCACAAAACCTGATGATGAAGATTCTGAATCAGTTTCAGTACAAGGTTAAAAAATATCACTGTAAACTTCATTAATGATCTAATAGAATTATACTTGCCGCAGATGACCCTCACACTCTTTCATGCATGCATCCCAGAGTTTGCTTCTCTCTTAGGAATTTAGGGGAATTGATGGATGTCGCGAATCATCACACTCACGTTTGATAACTATTATAAAGTTAAGTAGAAAATGAGTAAGCTAAAAGGGTAATACCTAAGAGTTGAGTGAGCAAGCAAATGGAAGAAGGATCAAAGCTTTGTGAATAGACTTTAAGAAAGAGCCAGAAATGGTAAAACAAAAATAAAAACGTTGAGACTCTATTTAAGATCAAGGATTTGAAACGGTTAGGAAAATCCTATCGAATTAGGGTCATGATATCATTTTCCTCCCCATAAAACTCATCATGACCATAAGAGATAATAAATCTAATAAAGATACCCATAATCAAGAGTCTTAAAAACCCCCTATTGTTAGACCAAGATTTGGTTCTGCGTATAATCTTTAGTAATAATGATAACAATACATTTATTTTATATGTAACAATTTTGTTATCTAATAGTTTCTTGAGTGTGCAAATATTAATATTCTATTTGGTTCTATATAAGTTCATTAGAATCTCTATTGACACGCTTCAGATAGTACTATTGCATCCACTTCTAAAGAAAAATTAGAAAATCTGAAAAAAATGTTAAATGTTCGCTAGAAAAGGATCTTTAAGTGCCTATCAGAAATCAAGCTTATGCTTCAAAGATCAGAAATCTAGCTTATGCTTCAAAGATCAGAAACCAAGCTATGCTTCAAAGATCATAATTACAGCTTATGCGTCAAAGCTCAGAAATCAAGATGATGTGCTTCTCATATAAGCTTTTGCTTCCAGCTCAAAAATCAAGATTTGTTTGTCAGATAAGATATTGATCCAAGTCTGAAGGCAAGGTTATGATTTTGAAGACTCTAATACTTTTGTAAACATTACAATGAAACGTCTTCTGATTAATCATCATTTCACATAATAAGTAATCCATCAGAAGACTAAGATTAAGAATGTGATCTCTTCTACACTCCCCTTACTACTTTAGATCAGAAGTATTTCATTAGAAGATAAGAATAGAAACTTACATAAGAATATAATAGTACAACAATACCTATTCCATAATGGTGAAGAGTACAATATACAACCAAAGGAATTTGTCTCCCACAGTCTCATACTACCATTGTGGCAACTGGAAATTGAAAGTGACATTTTGTACTATCCAACAATTTACTTTCTCATCCTATTTAAAGGAAACTATTCCATTGGAGAAGTTGATGAGAAAAAATAGGCGAACATAAACGAATTGAGAGGAAATATTGAAACAAAGAAAAGCTATTGTTCAAAGAAATTCAAGAAAGAAAATATTCAATAGAAATTAAAAACACAAAGAGTTGTTGCTCATATTTGTGTTAACTTTTATTCTCTATAGCACAAAGAGTTTTTGCCCATTGTTGTGTTATTATCATTGTTGTAAACACAAAGAGTTGTTGCTCATTTTTGTGTATTTACATTTTTTCTTCATTTTAGTGTTAAATCTGCTTTTCTAGAAGCATTATTGTAAACAATGTTTGATTGTAAATCTTTTAAGATTTGTTTTCCTCGAGTGACTAGGTGATAGTTTGTATAATTGAAAGATGTTGTTTGTAATCTTTCAAGATTAGTGGATTAAGTCCTTTTTGAAGGAAAAATCACCTTGGCGGATGGACAAGAGTAACCTTGTTTAAGGTGAACTTGTATAAACCGATTGTGTCATTTTTATTTCCTACCTTGTATATCATTGATTGTTTGTGTGAAGAATTTAAAAAGA